CTGTTACCAATCTCCTAGCGAAAAAAAGAAACAGACTGGACATCATTAGCCGAGGAGATTTAAAATTAACCCTTACAAAATTGACGCCAAATGTTGATAATTTATTATTAAAGCATCAGGTTCATCCTTCTCACTAAAAATATTGACTTATTGCTTATGTTATTTTATTTATAGTTTATTTTATGTTTATTTATTCTACGTATATTTTACATAACAGATACAAAATTTTATTTTGAGTACTTTAACACGTTAAACGCCATGTAAGAAATGTGATTTTACTCCAAAAATTTTTTTGTAGTCATTTTGTTAATAATCATGATATATGTATAGAAATCAGTTTTTATCGAAATCAAAAATACAGTTTTCAAGTTATTGCTGAAAAACTAGCCGCGGGCACCTGTGACCCCCATGGCGCTCAAAAGCAAAAAAAGTTATTTTTCGTTTGCATGCGCCACGCCGCCCACCCCGCCGGTCACCCCGCGCTCCAGTCTATCGCCGGCGCTTGCGCGGAGAGGTTATGTTCGTTTGGTTTTTGGCTAATTAGAATACGTCTAAAGCATATTTCATGTTAGTTATGTTTAGTAATTCATTGCGATGGAAAATAATATAGTACCTAATAATGAGGAACGCGATTTTTGCGAATTTCAAATGGATTTGGCGGACTTTGAATTGTCGCAAGAAGATTTGCAAGAGATTGAGACTTTGGAGTTCAACGCACTTCAGACATCGTTCAGGGACATCAGTAGCGACGATGAGTCTGAAAATTTACATGTTCCGAAGAAAAGAAGACGTATGGTTATCAATTCGGACAGTGAAAGCGATTCAGTAAAAGATTTTGTCCTACAAAATTTACCTACTTCTTCAAACACGTACACAAAATGGAAGAACCCTACTGGATGCACTGCTCGAGTGATACCCTTCACTGAGCCCACAGGTATGAAGTTTCCTTTTTCAAGAGACTTAAGTCAAGGAGATCCAGAGGATTTTTATTCTTTGTTAGTTGACGATTCCTTGTTTGAAATAATTGCTGAACAAAGTAACCTGTTTGCTACGCAAAGCTTTGGAGATAAAGATTTCAAGCCATGTTCTCGCTCACATAGATGGCAGCCAACCGATAAGCATGAAATAAAACGATTTTTTGGACTAATTTTATTCATGGGCCTTGTGAAATTGCCATCAATTAGTGATTACTGGAGTACAGATGACATATTTCAACAACCGTTTCCTCGCACAGTGATGACTAGGAACAGATTTGAATTACTTTTACAGTACCTACACTTTGCCGACAATTACAACTTGAATCCGAACGATCGCATTGGAAAAATCAGGTATCTTGTGAATTTGTTAAATGATAAATTTAAAGCCTACTATGCCCCTAAAGAAGAACTGTGTGTCGACGAAAGTATGATTCCTTTTAGAGGTCGAGTCACTTTTCGACAATATAACAAATCTAAAAGGCACAAATACGGTATAAAATTGTTTAAAGTTTGTACAAATCCTGGTTATACTTTAAAAATACAGGTATACAGTGGAAAAAATATTGATATTGAGAATAATACCCCTACAAAAATAGTATTATCCCTGTGCGATGAACTCTTGAATAAAGGCCACACCATTGCCACTGATAACTGGTACACCAGCTTGGAACTGGCGTACGAATTACTAAAAAACGATACACATTTCCTGGGGACAGTGAGAAAGAACAGAAAGTACTTGCCTAGGAAAGTAGTAGAAACTAATTTAAAACGAGGTGAATTCGTAGCACAAGAAAACGATTGTGGCATCACAGTATTAAAATGGAAAGATAAAAGAGATGTTTTAATGCTGTCTACAAAGCACACGGACAAATTTACTCGATTAAATGTCAGAGGCAAGGCGGTGCAAAAACCAGCAATGGTTATTGATTATAACAAATGTAAAGCTTCAGTCGACATGAGTGATCAGATGACAGCTTATTCAACTCCACTGAGAAAAACTGTCAAATGGTATAGAAAATTGGCCATAGAATTGCTCTTGAATACAGCTGTGGTAAATGCGTTGATAATGTATAAGGAAACCACTAAGAAAAATATTTCAGTAGTAGATTATAGAAAAAATCTCGTTCAATATCTCACTAAATCAGGACGTCCAGAAACAGGTAACTTGGCACTTGAATTACGTCCAAAACGACGAAAACATGAACTTGTCAAAAAAGAGGGACCTGTACGCAAAATGAGACGATTTTGTGTCGGCTGTTACAAGAACAATGTAGAAAAGATGTCGAGAAAAAGACGCAAAAAATAAGACCCTGAAAGTGCCTACCTATTGTTTGCAGTGTGATGGTCAGCCACATTATTGCCTGCCATGTTTTAATAGAGAGCATCGAACGTAATTTGGACAATAATTTTTGTTTGTAATATTTTCAATATAATAACTTTTAAATTACTATCTAAATTGTTTTGTGAGCCTTTCTATGACCACGTGTAAAATATTGATATTTCTTTGTGATTGATATATTATTATGTTATTAAAACATTAATACTGTAAAAGATTTTTGTATCTTTTGAATCTTAAAACTACGATATTTAAAACCAAATTTTATATGAAACATTTTTTTTTGCGTATTTTTCCCTACTTCTCATAATTTAGTACCTATTTTCTAAATTTTACTAGGCAGGTGTGTCCCACTGCAAAGGATTGCTCTCAAGCGCCGCGCCGGTCACTCACATAGGCGAAATAAACGACACGCGTGACCGGTGGCGCAAAAAAGCACTTTAAATTTAGATCTCGCATGTGGTCACCGGTGTCCCCCATGGCGCAATAAAGCAACATACATGAGGTCACCGGTGCCCCCCATGGCGTTTAACGTGTTAAGTTTTAACACTAAACTTCACTACAGTTAGAAATTTACAGGAAATCAATATCAGATAAGTAGGGGGTCTACCCAACACGGAAAAACATGGCAAGGGGTCTACGACACAAAAAAGTTTGGGGAACTCTGGTCTACACCATTGAAGTAATATGTACTTACGTACTAGAACAGCTATCTCAAACAAAAAATGTGCGCTACTCTGTGTTCGCGCGGTTGTTTTTTTATCATAGAATAAACATAGATAGAATGACCCGTGGGTAATAGTAGATTGTATTGTTAAATTGGTAAATTGTATCGAGAACAATATTTAAATTTTGTCATTTATTTTGTATATTATATTCGCTTATTTAATATAATATTACATAATATTATATCACAATTTTATTTCAATGATATTTTTATGTGAATATTTTAAAAGGTATCTATGTCAAATATAAAAAACATACTGAATGTATGTTTAACAAAACTTAACATAACATTTATATTACAAATATATTTATTTAAATTAGAATAAGAGTCGTTCATTAAATGCTGGGCACGCGAGAGTAAAAAATGGACGAATTTATTCCACTTTGACTTTGATGTGGAAACCTAAAAATAAAATAAAAGAATAATAACCAGATTTAAACATGAAAAATTTTGCCTAATTATAATATGTATATGTTTGTATGTATATGTGTTTATATGTTTCTATGTGTATATGTTTCTACAAAAAAATGTGTATAATAATATATTCGTCCTATAGTTAAGTACCTACAGAAATGTCGCATCTGAACATATTAATTCCATGACACGAGATGGCGTCTTAGGAATAATTTGTTTTATTATTAATTCTTAATATTTTTTTTTATTGATTAAGTATCTTATTAACCGATGAAAACTAATCCCTTGGTTTTTACTGACATTTCTTGATTTATTTGTACAATATGTAAGTACACACGACGGCATACTTTTATCAAGAGATTTTTTTTTAAATCAACACAACACGTGACAACTCTACAAGCGCCTAGCGAGTGACTGATTAAAGTGCGGTGTATGTACCGCAGTTGAGAACAGAGGCTGAATATAGCTCAATGGTCTACATTAATATTCTGAAAGTAGCCAGGCTAACTATGACATCGGGACGTCAAACACCTCAATTACCCTCGTGACCATGGGTGTTGTAAAACACCTGAGACGTTGGAAAAAACGCGATAAAATCCGTAAAATTAGTTTCATTTGATGTTTTCCTTTTCATAACTTTCAATTTAATAGTGAAATCGACTAGGGGAGTCATTTTTTTATTTTGTCCCCTTCGATCTATTGTTTAACGTAGTGTCCAAGAGGACGCGGAAGACCGCGTTGGCACACGCAATACGAAACTAAAGGCGGAATAAACAACAGCCCATATCTAAATCACGCTATCAAAGTTTCCGAACAACTCTGCATATTATACTCAAGCTCCATACTGCCATACGGAACGCTCACCGTTGGGAGATCTTTCCTTTTCCACCGACGGTAAAATAGCAATTCCAACGATCGTCTTTTTAAACTTAGTAATAACAACTTAACCTAGTTTAGCTTAAAGAGTTATTGTTATAAACCTAGACGTTTAAGTCAAGAGTATTTCATGATTTACGCAATTATGACAAAGGGGTGTGGGCAGCGTCGTAAAATATTTTACTGCCTTACAAGGAGCGTCTTGTTTATACGAACTGTGTTGCGTCATTTCATGCCAATGATTTTCACGTCATTTTGTTTTATCAAATGTGAGAGTGATTTTACACTAAAATAAAGATATAGCTTATGTGTAGCTTAAATAAATAGGCTTTTGTTACGCTGAGTCAATACACTTTACCATCTTCGGTTCCTTAGGTTTCACGAGCATATCTTTTTATACGTGGTAGGTCGGCCGTGTAAGACCACGCTGTTACAGTATACTGGCGTATAATAGCGTTATACTACTGTGCTTCATATGGTGAGTGAAGAAAACCGGAGGCCCTTATTAATGGAAACGAGGCATTCCATCATAGTCCTCACGGGTGACAACGCATCTGCATTTAGATTCATAATCGAGGACAAATGTAGATGTCTATGGGTCACAGTATCCATTTACCATCAGGTGAACTGTGTGCTCGTTTGTCAACCTTATTTAAAAAAAAAGACTTACGTCAGTAATGGGGTCGCCGCAGCCGTGGCAGCGCGGGCTGTAGTGCTTCGCGTAGCAGGGCACGCAGTGCACGCCGCCGTCGTGCTGGTGGAACTTGGCGCCGTCGATGGGCTTGCGGCAAGTGTTGCACGCGAAGTGCTCCGGGTGCCATTTCTTGTTCAGCGCCGTCACGATCTGAGGGAACACGGTCCAATATAGCTTTATTATTCCCAGTGGTCACCTAGTGGTTGGAATTCGACTGCAGTTCATTAAAATTTTAAGTTATACAAACTTATTTTATTAGCATGCTCTATTTAACTTTCATGTGCACATTTATATGAACAGTTATCATGAATTCTACGTTTTTTCATACACTGTACAGACTATTGAAAAAATGAACATTTGAGGTCACACAAAATTCACATTCTGAATGATTCAGTCAATCTTTCAACAATTCTTTGTTGGCAGCATTTTAAAATTCTTTGACGATAATTAAAACGTAGTGATTATATACTCTTTGACGTCAATTACTGCTGTTTGCATCTGTTTGACCACAGACTATATATATGTTTGACTTTGGCAGTATGAACATAAACAATGAATGTTTAATTTAATTTGATTTAACATATATTATTTATAAATTTTAGCTTTCTACACTCCCTTATCCATACAAACTTTAACTATGTCAAATCTCACACTTCCACTTGCACGCAATAGGCTTTAAAAGGGGAAAATAGGTTTCCCTTCACGTTTTAATATATAGAATATCATCCACACCGCAGCACACATTAAGACAGCTCGGTGAACTGGGCCAGTATACTTCTGGTCATACTACTACTTTATTATGTTCTTTACTGTTACGATAACGTTAAAAATATCCAATACCCCATATAGTCCTTTGGATATCGTAAGAGGCGACAGAAGGAAACCGACAAAGAAGATAGGTAGCAGCATCTTCCTGATAACAACTCAAAATTTTCCGCCTGCTGATCATGACAACTACTCGTATGACAGATCAAATGTACTTCATATTAAATAGAAATAGAATGTAGGAGGCCTACATAACATAGCTTATGTTCAGCAGTGAACTTATAAAGGGTATAATGGATGAACGATATCATTAAAATTATTTTTTTATATAGAATAAAGGTGATATCGTTTATCACTCTAGCATAAAGTCCACCTGATATTAAGTGGATGCTGTGGCCTATAGATATCCACATTTGTTCTCAATTAAGAATAAAAATGTAGATGCGTTGTCACCACTAACGACTAAGATGGAATGCCTCGTTTCCAGTAAAAAGTATCTCCTGTTCTCTACACTCACCATGCGACACACAGCAGCAGTTAGGCTCCTAATTTACGCTCGTATTTTGTGGTACTGTCACGGTCGAATCGACCCATTCATAATAACTGCATCGTGTCTCTTCCACGAATGTGGTTATTTTTCTCATCTTTGATATAGGCCTGCTACGGTATAAATTTTATCTACTTTCCAACTAATGAAGTAATTTCAACCACTTACTACTATAGTATATAACATTTATGTATCGAGTAGTTATGTTAGTCTCACCCTATGTGTGTTATTATATAGCATAACTCGTAATTGGATAGCACACCAACTTGGTATGTTACCAAACCTTCATATAAAAACCCAACGCTCCGGGAAGTGTGCAGTTGGTGAAAATATTCTAGACGGCCCACGTCATTACATCGGATTTGACGGACCACAAATTCTCGCGAAAGAACATCGATTTCCCCCAAGGATGATATGAGTACGTGAGGATATTGAAATTAAAAGCACATTCTCATTTCAATAGAAAAGGAGGCTGGGTACTAACACCTGATTGGGACCCTGTAACTATAAAAATTAAAACTAAACCCAAGCATACCACTGCAAGAATTCAAGACACAGCAATTTCATAATGCGTAGATAGGACTGAATGAAATAATTAAAAAGCTGAACGTACTCCGGGTTAACTTTGACATCGGAGCGTCAATCACCTCAGTCCATCCGTGATCATGGCTGATGAGTGACAAACCATTCGAAATGTCAGGAATTAAAAATAAGAAGAATTAGACGCAATAAAATCTGTAAAAGTAGTTTTATTTAATATCTACTACTTTTTATTAACCGACTTCAAAAAGGGGAGGTACTCAATTCGATTGCATGCTTTTTTTATGTACCGATGGTGTACCGATTTTGATGATTCTCTTTTTATTTGAAAGCTGGTGCTTCTCGTGTAGTCCCATGTAAATTTGATCAAGATCATCAAGTAGTTTTTGAGTTATTCTTAATAATGCGTAATTAATTGACTTCAAATACACTAATGATGTTCCCATTTTATTTGTATTGTAGTCGGTTGTACATTTTTTTTATTTTACCTCTTGTTTGTGTTAGAGCACAAGCAGTCTAAGATTTATGCGTGCGTATTTTTATCTCTTGCTGTATTTTTTTTGTTTTTAATGTATGTGTATATCAAATAAATAGTTCTTTCTTTCTTCCTTCCTCGAACTTTTGACTACCAAGGAGGGTGTTGACGGTTTAGGCATTGTAGGCCTGTTGGGGTTTAAATATTTTCTGGACATATTTCTTAAACGTATTTATGACAAAAACGGGATACTACAGTTAAATAAAAAAGAATATTTTTGACTTTAGACTGTTCTATTGGTAGCTACCAAATCACTTTCGATCTAGAACCGTTATTATCTGTTGACGCTAATTATTTTATTATATATTAATTAATTGCGCTAGCTGTTACATTGTTATCAATATTATCTCTAGAATTTTCTGTTTGGACTTATTTGATGTACACTAGCTAACGCAGGTACTGTCTCATTTGGTACCTGCTTGCCAATATTGCGACCTAACCTTTATGTACCTTTATGTCTAACAAAAAATCATTAAACGTTTGTGACGCAATTGATTGGAAGTGCAAATTACTTAAAATATGTCGATCCACATTGATCTATTATTAAGTAATCAAATCACTAGTACCTCGGAATCTGTTACAAACAAATACGTAAGTTATATGCCCATACCCAGCACAGGAGGAATTTCTCCTTTATTGTGCAGGGGTTATACATATAAAAATTACGTTTGAGCAAATATACAGACCCGGAACAATTATGTGCAGGCCTTACAGATCATTGTTTGTAAGTTAAACTCTGCCTCTGGGCTACCGATTGACTACATTGCTTCTTATAGCCTCATACATATAAATAAAATTGAATTGTCTGTTTTTAATATCGAAGTAATTGGTTTTTGTTAAACTTAAGGGGTTTATGCGCATGCCATTAAGACGTAAATAATATTTTCGTAAAATTTTTGTCTGTCTGTTTAAACGGGCTAAACTTTGAAATGGCTAGACAACGATCGTGTTCTAGTCTATATTTTATCCGAAAGACTAGAAAGTTTTAAAAATTATTTAGGTCGCTAGTTGCACCTTTAAATGTAGCCTGTGATCTATAGCGAGACAAAGATAAATGGGACAAAACTTTGCCTTTTCACTCAGTTTCCTTAACTAAGTTCGCTTTTCGCCTCGACCTGCGTCGCTCTCTATGTTTTAATGTCTTGAGATATTGTAGTTATCAATAGATTTCGTATTATCAAACGATGACGCGATGACCTCAAAGTATATCTACGATTATCTTTGCTGTCGCCTGTACTAAGCTGCAACTGCAAGTGGCTCAATAGATTGTTTACGTGGTAGAGCCACGCTGCAGCTATATTAAGGTTGTAGCACAAATGGGTCGACTCAAACGGGGTAGGACCACGCTTTCACAGCATACCACAGAAAAATAGCAGCTCAATGCGGCTGTGTTTCGTATGGTGAGTGTAGAGAACCGGAGACCCTTTTTAATGGAAACGAGGCGTTTCATCTTGTCCTCAGATGTGACAACGCATCTGCCTATTAATTCTTAATAGAGGATGAAGGTAGATGTCTATGGGCCACAGCATTCACTTACCATCACGTGCGCTCGTTTGTAACCCTTATCTAAAATATTTTTTTTTCCAAATCAGCGTACTACTATGAGATACTCGCCAGAGACCTCACAAACGAACTTGCGGTCCATCACGGGTTAAGTTGTTACTGCAGTGTATGAACTTGATGATGGATTGACATGTGGAAGGCCACAGATGTTTCGCTATCTCTGAATACTGACAAGAAATGTCTTCTATCCATCTTTTAACGTTACAGCCTATATACGTCCCACTGCTGGGCACATGCCTCCTCTCATTTATGAGAAGGTTTTTAAAGCAGGGAAGTGTTCGCGGCGCTGCCCCATTGCGTGGTCGCGAACTTCACGTCTTCGAAATATTTTATTCTTATTTCTCAGCCATGTAGGTTTCCTCCCGATGTTTTCCTTCACCGCCGAGCATGTGGTAAATCAGCACTTAAAATTGCAATCAAGAATTTCTGTGAAGTGTAATGGTGCCGGCAGGGATCGAACCTGGGTTGATCGCGTACTGTGAAACTTACAGCGAGCGCTAACCATCTGAGCAACCGTTCATCTATTACAGCCTATAAAAGTCCACTGCTGAATATTTGCCCTCCCCTATAGATTGCTCCATAGGCAGGGTTTTTCCATACTTGCTAAGCTTAGAGCAGTTATCTTTTAACTTTGATCAGTTATCAGAATGATGCTGCTACCCATATCCTGTTTTATTTTTTCTCTATTACTACACCCACGGGACGAAATAGGGTAGCGGGTATTATTACACCACCACTGCAGTTCTACTGCCTCTACACGGTTATAGAATGTCTTAAACATAGAATACCATAATACACAATAGGATGGCTGTCAACCTTATTTTGTATAAGGATAGGCGTCGCCGGGAGCACACATGCAAGCAATTACGTCGTATTATCAGTTAATCACTACTACAAACCCGATTCGCTGTGTTAACAGACGGATTTTAATACACATTTATTTGTAAATAGCGCGCAATTTGGCATTTTCTAAATAATTTGCGTGTGAAATTTTGAAACGATTGTAACGTCAAAACATCTCGTGTTGACGTTTATACGTGTGATTTGACGTGTTAGTGGCTACACGGGCTCCGCACATTCCCCCGTTCTATTATGTATGTATTATAGTATTCTATGGTCTTAAAGGCCGTTATTATACCGCCTCTTTTTATCCTCTAAACCAATCAATATGAACTGCTTATCATTAGAAATAGTAAAAGGTTGCTCTCTCATATATCTCACAGAATACCAGCGTGAAATAGTAGCTTAATGCTGCTGTATTTCGTATGGTGAGTGTAGAGAACCGGAGACCCTTTTTACTGGAAACGAGGCATCCCATCTCAGTGCTCACGGGTGACAACGCATCTGCATTTTGATTTTTAATGGAGGATAGATGTAGATGTCTATGGGCCGCAGCAACCACTTACCATCAGGTGGACTGTGTGCTCGTTTGTCACCCTATTCTATAAAAAAAATCAACAAAAAAAAAGAAGTCCTTAACGTACTTGAATTCCCGCATGTAAAATTAAAAAAAATCTTTATTTCTTCGGCTTTATTTTCTAAATCTTTACCGTTTCACTAAGAGCTTCCTTTGACCGAAGAGAGAACGGTTAAATGTACTCCGCAGACATCCGCTTTTTCGTAATTTTTGAATGTCAAATACCTAATTGACTTATTGGTAAAGCCTGCTAGAAAAAAATACAGAAATTATTTGCAATAAAGCCTGCTAGATGCTCTGTGATAAAAAATAGATGTTTATATAAAAAAAAATTACAGATTTTGCAATTAAGCATGCTTGTCGATGTACAGGTAGTTACAAAAAACTAAACACGATTTTTGGAACTTATTAGTTTAGTGCATAGAAAACATAGGTAGATACTAGCCTCCACACCTGCTCAAAAGTATGACGCATGCAGCCATCGCTCTATATTAAGAGCAAGTGGACAACCTTGAAGACATCTAATTAAGATTGACATGATCATATCTACCTTTCAAAAGTTAAATGATTTTTGCTCAAGTTTTTCTATTTATAAAATAAGGGTTACAAACGAGCACACAGTTCACCTGATGGTAAGTGGATGCTGTGGCCAATAGAATTTATCCTCGATAAAGAATCAAAATACAGATGCGTCATCACCCCTGAATACTAAGATGGAATGCCTCGTTTCCGGTAGAAAAGGGTCTCTGGTTTTCTTCACTCGCCATACGAAACACAACAGCATTAAGCTGCTATTTTACGCTGGTATTCTGTGACAGTGTAGTTCTATCCCGGTGGAGCCGATCCATTCGTGCTACGACCATAATATACTTGCAGCGTGGCTCTACCATGTATGTATACTTTCACGAGTCTTAAGCCGCTATCGAAAACCCGTGCTACGCTAATCTATTAAAAAGCATGCCTCAGTGAGCGCGAATATAACCTATAAATTACTTCTACGACAACATTAGCTAGTATTGTATTCGTTGTAACTGTAATTCTAGGTTTATTAGGTGTAGGCACCTGAACAGACAGATCTCAAAATTAGCAAATCTTTAATCACTGAGTTTTATAATCGCTCTATTGAGATTCACTTTAATAGGTCAAACTCGTTGACCCAAATGGTTAGAGCCGAGTGATTTTTTTATTTAGATCCCCAAGAGACAGACGCGGTTTAATTAAAGGAAAAACATGTGTTTTAAAGACGGATGGCAGTCATCGATCTAAGTTGTTTCAAAAAGACATTTTTAAATAAAGTATAATTACATCAGTCTTGTGTACTAATTTTCAAGGAATAGGTTTTTATAATAATGTTCTATATTATTAAAGAAAACTGCTTGTGTTTGCCGGTTAGATTTCATATTTATTAATTCATTCATTACAGCCCTTTGAAGGGCTCTAAAGTCGTGGTAGCTCAGATGGTTAGCGCTCGCTGTAAATTTTACAGTACGCAAACAACCCGGGTTCGATCGCCTCACGAACGAAATTATTAACTGCAATTTTAAGTCTGATTTACCACGTATTCGAGGGTGAAGGAAAACATCGTGAGGAAACCTGCATGCCCGAGAAATAAGAAAAAAATGTCGAAGAGATGTGAAGTTCGCTAACACGCATTGGGGCACCGCGGCGGACACTTCCTTGCCCTAAAAGCCTCTCAAAGTAGAGAGGAGGCCTGCGCCCAGCAGTGGGACACGTTTATAGGCTGTAACTTTATTTACAGCCTTTCACAAGTCCAGCTGAACGTAGATCTACTCCAAGTAATACCTTAAAGTACGGTCTTGAGCCATTTGCATCTCATACTAGGTCGTCACTCTATCTTGTGAGGGGTCGCCCAATACTGCTCTCGCAAGTACGAGGATGGCACTCGAGAATCATTATTTCCCTTCGTTGTCGGTTAATCGAAATATATAGCCGGTGCATTCATGCATGCTACTTCAGCTTACGGATTCATTAAGCTATGGCGGTTACTCTGGTTCTAATGCGGATACCCTCATTTCTAAGTCTATCACTTAGAGAAGCTATATCTGGATAGGAGCTAAATTATGGTTATAGTACGAATACGTCGGCTCGGCAGAGGTTGAACCACGCTCTCACAGAATATCAGCATAAAATAGCAGCTAAACGGCGCTAAGAGCTGTGAGTTCGAATCCCGCACGGAACAAGTATTTGTATGGCCTACAAGTAATTGTTCCCGGTCTGGATGTTTGTCCTTGTGCAATTTATGTATGTAAACTGCTTCCACGATACAGGAGAAAATCCTGCTGTAGGGTAACGTTTACATGAAATATATTAATTGTCTTAAAGTCGTTTTGTAATATATATATGTTTTGTCTAATGCTAAGCTGGCTTACGTTGCAGTTATGTCTTAAGCTTACAGAACATTTGCTCTCGTCATGCGCATTATAATACTTCCGCTCAGCTGTGCCTTCATATTAATGCGGACTATATTGGTCATTAGGTACATGCAAGATTGTGCGCTAACTTTGTTGACATAAAAATTATAGTCACATAATGTCAACAAACATATGAACATGTACATGAATTCCGACGGACGTTGCAGATGCTTTACGTCGGAAATTAAATGCTTAAAATTAAACGCGATAAAATCCGTAAAATTATTTTTATTTGAAGTATTATTATTGTATAGAGAATACCAGACTTTTTACACAACCACTTGGTCACTTGGACGGGTCACTTGGAATACTATTATATACTTTGATTTTCACATGAACGCATTGTTTCGACCAGTGCTAGCTTAAAAACAAATTTTGACTATCACTTTACTTCTCTGATAACGTCTTGTATCGTCAACCATTTAGCAATGTGTTATAGTATTATGTAGTATTCATTAATTTGTTGAAGATATAATTGCTTACTCACTCTGCCCTGTATCACTGAGTTGCAGCTGTTGCAAACCGCCGGTCCGCCGTCTCTTGTTGACTGAAACAAAAATATAATGGCTTTTTAGAAAAAAGTATTTATTTACTCTAGCAAAGGCTGTATACTTTTTTTATTATCCGTGCCCGGCGTGACTAGTACTGTCTCTCTTTTGTCAGTAGCATCCGCTCACACACGACAACTTGCATGTTTAACGTTAGGTATTGCGCGTTTTGTTCCACGCGCGCCTCAAAGAGCTGTCAGCAGCGTGAAGGGGCCCGCAAGGGCCGACGCCTGCCGGGGCTGCGGGCTGTTCGAAAGAGATACCGCGGCTCCGGAACGTAAGGGCACTGAAGGAACACGGATGGTTTTTAGTCAGTAAAAGTCTGACACTCCCTTACGCTCCACCCAGAGCGAAAATGCGGGGGGGGTCGGGGAAAAGTTTATGGCCTCATATAGTTGTGTCGGATGTTCCTTGTGCAATTTATGTTTGTAAACTGCCCCCACATTGGAGGCGTCATTAGATGATTTTCCATCCGCAAAAAAAAAGGTATTGTAAATTTAATACATTTTGTCTTATTGTCGTTTAGGAGCAAATTGTTGGCGTTAAACCAATGTACTAATTTCGATAGAGCATTATTTACATTGTCAAAATTAATTGACTGCCGTTTGAATTTGAAAATTAAATGTGTATCATCAGCAAGTAATACTATATCGTGAGTGTCCCCGAAAAGTTAAGGTAGGTCATTAATATAGATAAAGAACAGGAATGGGTCAAGAGTCGAGCCCTGAGGACACGCCCATACTACCGATGATGATGTTAGTAATGATGATGAGATTACTAATAAAAGAATTGTGAAACATGTGAAATACATGTCGCGTCATCTACTACTTGAACTAAGTCTAGATTTAATTGAACCAGTGTTGGACAGTAATTTATTCGCATCAATTGCCAATTGCAAAGAACTTCCTTACTGCTCTACATTGTACAGTCCTTGGATCTAATTGTAGGCATTGCACAAGTCTCCATTGACCTTATCATTCGATACATAAACTGTGCATATCCGATAACGTATGCGTGATAAGGATCCAGTTAAATTTTAACATGACTTCATCTCCTATATAGATACAGTGTTAAAGGACACACTCAAACATGCGTTTCGAAGCAAACGGTTTGCTATAATCCTTCGTAATCCGTACAGCATAGGAGTGGAATAAGTTGCTAGCATTTGTCTTCTGTGTTTCCATCCGATTTTAACTCGCTCAATAAATCTAAACTCGTTTCAAAGTACAGACTTCATAAAACTAGCTCAGTTTTGGGCAGTTGTATAACTATTTATAACAAGACTCCCTGTAATACTACAAAACAAGAAAGAGAAAGAAACATTTATTGCAACATGCCACAAACATCTTGAGCATTTGAGAATGAAGCTGTAAAAGCCAAAAGGCTAACAGCACTAACATCACATTATATAGAATCTGCAACATCCTCACATCACCTTCTTTCAAATCATACGTAACGCGCTAGTGTGGAATGGTCTTAACAAGTAGGAAAAAGTGGGCGCATGGCTATTACATGAGTGCGTCAATATAACTATAAGTGAGGTTATATGCCTCCTCCACACGAACGGTAATTGTGATGTTCCGACGGTGGCCAGTTGGAAATGCAACGGCCTTGTACGGCACGCACCCTCGTCATGCGCTTTCAATGTCCAATGTCCAATGTGCTACGTGTACGATGCACTCCGAATGCAATTACGAGTTATAACATTATGCATCGATTGACATTGCTGTTTCAACGCATTATGTAGTAATTTTTTATGTAATATTTGATCTAAGATATTATATATATATATATATATATATATATATATATATATATACATTACACTTATATTTTTCATTATTTAGTTATTTTGGTAACATCTTTCTCGAACATGGAAATATTTCGTACACACTAACCTCGCGGGTGAGACCAACCTTAATGGCCATTGCTGAAAAGTTTTCAGCAACGGTAGCGTTAGTTTTCAGTGAAAACTAACGCTACCGTAACCGAGCGATAGCATTGAGTCCGTACCCCTTTCAGCATCACTACACTCATGCGATCGGATTATTTTGTCTGTTTTCTCTTATATATATCTTACAGTTACAGCCTATATATGTCCCATTCCTCTGCACAGGCCTCACCCATTTCTGAGATGATTTTATGGCAAGGATTTGGCCGTCGCGCTGCCACAATGCGTGTTGGTTAACTTCACATATCTGCGATATATTTTTTTTATTTCTCAGACATGCAAGTTTCCTCACGAAGTTTTCTTTTACCGCCGGATACGTGGTAAATCAGCACTTAAAATTGCAGTTAACAATTTCATTGCTGCCGGCGCGGATCGAACCCGGTTTGTTCACGTATTGTGAAATTTACAATGAGCGCTAACCAAGTGAGATACCACGGTTCTTTTTACGTCTATTTTTATGTCTATGTCTAAATGCTGTGGTCTATAAACATCTATATTTTCTATGATTAAGAATATTAATGCAGATGCTTTATCCGGACCTACATCAGCCTATTAAAGAAATATTGTGGAGTTTTTTCTTGTTTTTATTTCTTTATCGGCCATTATTAACAGCTCTATCCTGCTGCTAAATAATTGGTCCTATTGCAGCCTGCTGCTGAGTTCAAAAGAGGGTTTAAAGAACCACTAAATTAAATGCAGACTATTAGGCATTTCATTTAATGTCCTCAGGGTTGACAGCGCCTAAGGGTGCTAAACGAGCACGCAGTCCACGTAGTGGTAAGTGGATGCTTGGCCGATATACATCTAGCCTCGATTTAAGAATCAAAATGGAGATGCGTTGTCACCCCTGAGGACTAAGATGTAATGCCTTGAATTCAGTAAAAACAGGTCTCCGGTTCTCTACATTCACCATACGATATACAGAAGCATTAAGCTGCTGTTACACACTGGTATTCTGTGAGAGCATTGTGAATTCTCGGTCGAGTCGACCCATTCATGCTACAACTATAATATAGCTGCATCGTGGCTCTATCTTGTATAAGTTTGATTGTTTGAAGTTGATAGCAAATTTCCATGGTCTTCACTAGCCACTTATCCCCAGTTGAACTGTAAGTAAGTATACGCGGTAGAGCTATGCTACATATAATGGATGTAACATGAATGGGTCGGCTCGACCGGGGAAGGAACACGCTCTCACACTTCTTGTTTTGTTTGTTTGTTTGTCACTGGTAAGTACTACTAGTAGTAGCGATGCATTTCATCCTAGTCCTCCGGAACAACACTATAACTGTCAACGCATCTGCTTTTAAATTCTTAATAAAGGTTTATCTATATCTATGGGTGTTTATATGCCGCAATATTCACTTACCATCAGGTGCACTGAGTATTCGCTTACCATTTAGTTTAAAAATGTGTAATATTATAAAAATAAACTGTTTTATGATTAGAATACTATAATACATAATATATAATAGAACGGCGGAGTGGGCGGAGTCCGTGTAGCCACTAAAATGTCACAAATAAGGGAGACATATCCCACAACCAGTACGACGAAACTATTTATTTATATTTTATGAATATTAGAAACAAAAATAAAGAAATATTTGTGTCAAAAACATTAATCAAAAGTCTAAAATGTGTTAATTTGTTCAGTCTGTCAACATAGCGAATTGGGTTTGTGGTAGTGATAACTGATAATACGACGTAATTGCTTGTATGTATGTGTACAAAATAAAGTTGACAACCATTCTGTTATGTATTATAGTATTCTATGTAAATAGTAATATTTATTTAGTTCTAAGTATACATTTTACAATTTTATTTTTCACAATATTTTGACATTTTGAATTCAATATATTTTAATTATAGCTCTTGTTATATGTAAGTATGTAACGCACAAAGCTTTGCAGATGATTGAATAAGTATTTGAAATGATTCACAAATGAGACCTGTCGTAACTCACGTACAACTCATTGAACCGGCCATATTCGTGAACTTGGCATATCAAAGAAAGCGCATCGCTGCCACGTAAATGTGTCACGCTAATTTGGTGCGCCCAGCGAGGGAACAATACTATAGACTATAGGCCTTATTTAGAGAATGTGTAACGGTTTGGCTGGGCTTGTTTGACAAGCGGTAGCGGGACGGTTGCGAATATATGGGATTTTACGAAAAAAATATTTTAATTTTATTAGTATTTTTAAGAAAATAGAAGTAAAAAAAATAGAAGTTCGAGAAAAGAAAAGAGTAGGCTAGATGTAAAAGCGACTAATTTTTAAGGCAACAAAATGTAAGTTGCAGCAAATAAAGGAGCATGGTTGGATATACTAGCGAGTAGCGACTAAAGCTGGTGATTGTGGATATCCCAATAATTCTCTTTTAGAACGTTAGGACTTTCCCTCTACACTGAGATGTTCTCCTGTATCGTGGACGCAGTTTACGTACATAAATTGCACAAGAACAAACATCCAGATCTGGAACAATAATTTGTTACAAATACATATTATTTGCGGGATTCGAACCTGCGGCCCTAAGCGCCGAAACTGAGTGCTAAGCCACTGCGCCATGAAGCCGTTTTTTAAACTTTTGTTTGTTATCCCAAAGCTAGTAGGTAGTTACCGTTACAGGCCTATTTAAAATCCGCTGCTGAACATAGGCCTTTCCCGCAGATTATGGGCGATATGTGCCATAGTCGTCACGCTTGGCAGGCGAGTTTGCTGCCGTAGTTTTTTATTTTTTATTATTTGGAAGACACTGTTGCCCATATAACGACGCCCAGGCAGGGATGCCAGATGTTCGGGATTCGTCTGGATTCTCCCGACATTTTAAATGGTCTCCAGACTCCCGACAAAACTCAAAATCTCCAGACAAACAGCTATTTGGTAAGTTAACGTAGAGCGTTTGATTTAATAAAAGCTGAGTTAGTAGTTAGACTGAACTTTGATGTAAATTGTTTGAATTTTAAATATTTTCTGAATACTACTAAAGGAAATACATGTGGCAACCTAAAAATTAAGTGTATTTTTAAATTAATTTTGTTTAAAGTAC